CCCCCCCCGACTTGAAGATGAGCTTTGAAATAAGATGATGTCATTGTGGGCCAGTCAGAAGCCGCTGCTGATGACATGTGACAAGCAGAGGCTTCTGTAGGGGGGACTGCACGTGGGGCTGGGATGCTGCCGCAGAGCAGTTCCAGGGCACAGTGACCCTCTGTCTTGCCACCCACCCCACCCACTAGGTTAGGAGGAGGGCAGTACCGTGGCTGGATCTGCAGGGGTTTCCAGGAGAAGGAAGCTTACTGTCTTCAGCTGCTGTTCCTCTGGAGATACCCAAGGCTGTTAATTCCTACAGCATTAATTAAAGGGATGGGGGAGAGAAACTGAGTGTCCCCAGTGGAAGACCTTGATGGTTGTTGGTGAGGAAAGGAGAAGGCATCTTGTCCTGAGAGTGTAATACCTGCAGAGCCCAGTGGTCAGGCTGGTGGTGAGAGGTGGACTAGAGGGAAGAATTTGGTGGCACCTCAGGTGTGGTGCTAACTCCTTAAAAAAACTGTGTACTGTGGAAGGAACCAAGAGCCCTCAGTGGAAAACCCATAGAGTGGGGTGGGCCTGACAAGGTGTTGGGCCAGGCCTCAGTTTGCTCCTGACGGCAGCATCATTCTGTTGCAGAAGAAGAAAGGAGGGCGCGGGCCAACGACCGAGAATACAATGAGAGATTCCAGTATGCGGTAAGTGGCTCTAGACCACCTGTGCTCTCCTCCTGAGTCAGAAAGGGGAAAGGTGCATCCCATCTGTCCTAGGCTGGGACACAGGGCTGACTGCTGGGAGAGTGCTTGAGGGAGGGGAAGGCGGCCTCCTCGCCACTCTCCATCTGCTGTGTGCTGAATTTTTCATGGCCTTCACCTGTCAGTGAAGCAGGATACATTAACCCTGTGAGACTCTCTTCCCTCCTCCTCTTTCGCACTCCCACACCCCTGGTCACTGGCTTTTGGGGACAGGGGTTTGGAAAGTGTGGATGGAGGAGGCAGCCTCAGTCTCATTCTGGCTTGGGGTTGGAGGCTGCCTCATTATCTTCTCTCTCACTGCCACAGAGTAACTGCATCAAGACCTCCAAGTACAATATTCTCACCTTCCTGCCTGTCAACCTCTTTGAGCAGTTCCAGGAAGTTGCCAATACCTACTTCCTGTTCCTTCTCATTCTGCAGGTAAGTGACCTGTGGTAAACCCTTTGCAACTCACAAAGCGATATAAAATCAAGGAAGAGAAAGGTCTAGGGGAAACGAGGACGGGGACTCGGAAGCATGCCTTCTCTTTCCTTTTTTCAGTTGATCCCACAGATCTCCTCCCTCTCCTGGTTCACCACCATTGTGCCTTTGGTTCTTGTCCTCACAATCACAGCTGTTAAAGACGCCACTGATGACTATGTGAGTTGTTTTCATTCTTATACCTTTTTCCCACCCCCCACCCCACAACTCACTTTCCTCCACCCAGCACAATTCCTCGGTGACCTTGCCATCCCTTACCTGGTCCGGCTAGATCCATGATATCTTGGCCGAGAGTAGGGAGGGGGAGTCAGGGAGAGAGTAGACCTGTGAACAGGTGTAGACAAGGTGGTACCCAGCATGCTGTGCATTCCACTGATGATCTAAGTCCCTTGGAGCGGTAGAAGGTGTCTTACCTTTCTTTCCCCTTTCAGTTCCGCCACAAGAGTGATAACCAGGTGAATAACCGTCAGTCTCAGGTGCTGATCAATGGAATGTGAGTGCCTGTTGGAGACTGAGGGCCTTGGGGAAGAAAGGGGTCCCCTGGGAACTTCTCTAGCTACTGACAGCCTCTTCTCTATCTTCTCATTGCCTCAGCCTCCAGCAAGAGCAGTGGATGAATGTCTGTGTTGGTGATATTATCAAGCTAGAAAATAACCAGTTTGTGGCGGTAAGGGACAAGGTGCCCCTCTAGGTCTACAGTGCTCTCCCTTTACTTTGGCAGAAAGGGATGAATCTTTCCTGATTGACTATTGCCTCTTAAACACACATGGGAGGAAACTTTCTTGAGTGGGAAGCTTCTGTGTCATATTAATATGCCTCCTTTCTAGCCATTCACGTGCTTGGGACTAAGCAAACCAAGAGTGCTTAGTGGAAGGAGGGGTCATCAAAGAGTCCATTGCGGGTGGAGGATTGGGTCTTTGACCTTCTCACTAGGTTTTCTTTCTAGGCGGATCTCCTCCTCCTTTCCAGCAGTGAGCCCCATGGGCTGTGTTACATAGAGACAGCAGAACTCGATGGGTAAGTCGCATGCTCAGTGTCACATCTCCTTCTGCCTCCTTTGGGGTAACAAGCTTGTTTTTGAAAGAGGTTCCCAGGTCTGGGCTCTGTACCTTTTGGAAAATTGATGGGTAAGAAAGCCTTTGGGGTGTGTAAAAGAACTACCTACCTAGTAATGCCTGGGGGCGGGGGTGGTCCTCCATGGTCAGGTGCCCCCAGATAGAATCTAGAGGAAGGGAAGGGAACCAGGCCTCAGGGACACTGTCCTTCCAGAGAGACCAACATGAAAGTACGGCAGGCGATTCCAGTCACCTCGGAATTGGGAGACATCAGTAAGCTTGCCAAGTTTGATGGTGAGTAATTTTGGAGAAGCAGCTTTCAGGTAGAGGAGGTGGGTGTGTTTGGGGGTTTAAATTGTGCCTTCTCTTTTGGCTTCTTGTTCCTGTGATTATGCACCGCCCTGGACTTTTTTGGGTTTTGGGGGGGCAGGGGTGTCAGGAATGCCAGGTGGCTATCATTTACTTGTGAATTGATGGTCATTTCAAGAGATCCTCATGGCTGATAGCTCCCTCCTTGCTGTACATGTTGAAATTCAGCTTATTCTTATTTCTTATTTGTCTCAGAATAATGATACATGCTCCTTCTAACAAGACAAACTATGTAGCATGTATAAGAAAAAGCCCTCCTTCCCTCCAATTCTAGTCTCCTTAGGTAGTCACGTTAACTGGCAGTTTAGTGTGTATTCATCCACACTTTTCTCTGTTTATACAGACACGTGAGCATAAATCAGTGGGATCATACTGTACTAAAATCTCTGCAACCGCCTTTCTGTACTTATTAAATTCATCATAAGTATCTTATCACGTCACTATGTAAAGAAATTTACATCATTCTTTTTCATAACCATATAATGTTTCATAGAATTGGTGTATTGTAATTTATTCAGCTCTCCCCTGACTATTCAGTTGTTTCCAGTCTTTTGCTCTTCAAATAATGCTTCAATAAAATTGTTGTGAGCTATGCTATCATTTTTTAAAAAAAATTTGGCTGTGTTGGGTCTTCGTTGCTGCACGCAGGCTTTCTCTAGTTGCAGTGAGGGGGAGCTACTCTTCGTTGTGGTGCACGAGCTTCTCATTGGGGTGGCTTCTCTTGTTGTAGAGCACAGGCGCATGGGCTTCAGTAGTTGTGGCACGTGGGCTCAGTAGTTGTGGCACGCAGGCTCAGTAGTTGTGGCGCATGGGCTTAGTTGCCCCGTGGCATGTGTGATCTTCCTGGACCAGGACTCGAACCCGTGTCCCCTGCATTGGCAGGCGGATTCTTAACCACTGCGCCACCAGGGAAGCCCTGTGCTATCATTTCTGTAGAATGAGTCGCCAAAGTGGGATTACTGGGTCTGAGGATATGTGTACTTTTATTTTTTTTTATTTTTTATTTTTTTTATTTTTTTTTTTTCGGTACACGGGCCTCTCACTGTTGTGGCCTCTCCCGTTGCGGAGCACAGGCTCCGGACGCGCAGGCTCAACGGCCATGGCTCACGGGCCCAGCCGCTCCGCGGCATGTGGGATCCTCCCAGACCGGGGCACGAACCCGTGTCCCCTGCATCGGCAGGCGGACTCCCAACCACTGCGCCACCAGGGAAGCCCTGTGCTATCATTTCTGTAGAATGAGTCGCCAAAGTGGGATTACTGGGTCTGAGGATATGTGTACTTTTAATAGGAGTTCATGCTGCTTCATTCCTTTCCCAGAAAGTTGCATCAGTTCACACTCCCACCAGCAGTGTGTGATGGCCTCACATCCTAACACCATCTCCCTGCAGCTTCTTTTTCTGTGTTGCTGTCTCGTGGTTAAGCTACAGACTGCACCTTGAACGGAGGCACTCTTGTCTTCTGTTCAGGTGAAGTGATCTGCGAACCTCCCAACAATAAGCTGGACAAATTCAGCGGAACCCTCTACTGGAAGGAGAACAAGTTCCCCCTGAGCAACCAGAACATGCTGCTGCGGGGCTGCGTGCTGCGAAACACCGAGTGGTGCTTCGGGCTGGTCATCTTTGCAGGTGAGCCTCCTAGGGCCCAAAGAAAGAAGGGTGAGAGTTGCTGCCTTCACCCTCCCGCAGGAATGCGGGAGGAAGATGACAGAGCCCCA